TTCCATTTTTCTGGTCCATGCTCTTGGGGTCAGGAGCATAGGTTTAACCCCAAACTGCACTACATTTGGAGGTATTTACAATGGATATTTGATTCTGCTCTCAAATACCATTCAGTATTTAACATAAATGTGCTTGATTAACTTGCACAATTTTAAATGGTCCAACTACATCTGTAAGCCCAAACAGCAACAGCTTTTCTAATATTTGAAAGTCTGACCCATTTGAGCATATCAATGGTTCTAGTGCATTTGATAAGTAAATGATGTTCAGCTGAGTAACACCTAAAAGCAGCGAGAACAGTTCTACTAATTACTGATCATATACCAAAAATACAAGCAGCCCAAACAGATTGCACATTATCATTAAAATGTGACTGAAAGGAGCATTGCACACTATGGATCAGAAAATAATACAGTAGTTGGAAACTGACTAGCGTGGAGATTCACATAAGAACTCCAGAAGAACTTAACATGTCATATATATATATATCTCTGTATTTTCCACAAGACTTCCAGACCTAGCTGGTTCATGCTCTAGGCCATTCATCTTTCAAATGCAGATAGAGGGCTGATCCATGCATGATGGACTTCACAGTCTAGTCATATAAAACAAGACACTTTGCAACTTTAACCATGGAGAAAGACATTATTCCCCATTTGCTTAGTGGTTTGGTTTTTTTTTTTTCTTCTTTTAACTTGGGAAAAGAAAATCATGATCTCCAGTGTTTCTACTCGGTACTAGAAGCGTCAGATTCATTGGATGAGTTGACAGAAAGTGTCAGTGTTTCGACTGAAGTGTTCACCATCTGTCTGAGGTTGTGGGCCTGACTGCCACTAAAAAAAAAAGGTATCACATCAGACAGAGTAAATGAATGAATGCAACTGATAATTTTGGATAGTGAGCATAATTTACAATTGTCAGGACTATTATTTACAATTCAACAGTTTTAATTTGGAATTGCTATATATACTCATAGGCTGTTTCTATAGTAACTTCTTCTGACACTCCTTTAAGTCCAGTTCACTTTTAGTTATTTACACATTTCTAGCATGTAGCCTTAGGCTTGGATTTTGCTCAAATCATCTTTGATCAAAATCATCAAATCTTTGACGATTTAAGAATACCAATCTAGACTTGGGATTTTTAGGCTCACAAGTGTCTACAGGCTATGAATTATTCCTGCTTCTTTTGTAAACACTCAAGTATACAGACTGTGTAACTATAACCTCAGCTCCTCACAGCTCCAAAGAACAGACAGATTATTACACCTTCAGAGAGACAGAAAGAAGAAGGACTGCAAGAGCCAGATGAGCTTGTGGACTATATGCCTCCATGATCTCCAGGTACTTATAAAATTACCTTTATTTCTACTTTCCAGTGGCAGTCTGCAGGTCTCTTTCTAGCCCTTTGGCGACTTCACAAAAAAATCATTGGTACTTGGAATTAGCTTTTGGAGGTTCATGGGTAAACTGCCATGCTATGTTTCTCTGCTGCCCACACAAACTCCCAGATGCCTCTTTGACAGCCTTCTAGTTCAAAAAGGTGCAAGCACAATGACAGGGTTTTTTTTTTTTGCAAATGCCAGAGAAGAAAACTACTTCGGTGAATGAAGGACATATCCAGTGTTTCAGACTTCTGACTTGCCATGGTCCTCTCCCCAGTATCCTTTGTTTCAAAATAGCTGTCCTCTGGTATCTACTGTTAGGCAGTTCAAGCAGTCTTGGAAAACAATTCCTAAGGCTTGTTTGGTCACTAAGCAAGGACATAGGTATTTCCAAGGTCTAGAATGACTCCATCAGCTTGGAGTTGTTAGCCTTAAAAAGGAAACAGGTGAGTAAATATTATGGTTTAAATGAAACTCATTCAGAGTTTCGACCTGGGGAGGGAACCTGGAACAAATTTACAGAGAGGAAAAAACAAAACTTGAAAGAGATGATCTGTCATAAACGGCATGAATTTCACTCATAATCATGTCAGAAGTAATGGAAGATAATTACTGCCTTCTTGGGCAGGTGAAAGAGGGTGCAAGATATCAAAGGTTTACAAGACACTCTTCCTAATGGATGGATCATCTAACTTCAGTTTCTTTGCAGGTATTTGATCTCTAACAAGGGAAAAACAGTCTTCTAAAATTCACATGCATCACCTCCCGAGCCTTCGTGCACCTGAGAAAGGTTATTCTTCCCAGGATGATCCCTGCACTACATAACTGGGTCTAAACATGACTGCACACTTCCTTCCTTGGAAGGCTGAACCTTTCAAATCCAGAGCAGCCTGGCACAGGGAATGCTGCAAGGGCATGGCATCAGAAGTCCCAAACCAGTCCCAAACAATCACATCTGGGCTGTGAAGCACACTTAGCTGGACCAGAAATTTTTACGTATGTGGTGAGTGCTGCTGGTAATCAGTGAACTGAAACTGGAGAAAAGCTAACAAGCAGACTTTTCCCTAAAAATCCCCTATTTCCTACTTTAGTGTGTAATTACTACAATTAAGGAAGATACTGGACAGTAAGGTATGTAAATCAATAGAGGGAACTTGACATTTCCTCTATTGGCAGAAGAGAGTGTGACGAAATAAAATTGAACTCAAGAGATTGTTTTATTGACAAAGATTTCTACAGGAGTACCAGTACAGCATCTGAAAAGTCTTGTACTACTGCAGCTATGCCATCCTACAGAACCATGAAGTTACATCCACACCAGTGAATTAGACAAGTCTTGGACTGTCTTCTGGCATCAGTTCTAGTTGGAATGGAATGGAATTGAATGACTCACATGAAAGTTATTAAGTTTACCTCTAAAAAAGGATGTTCATATTCAAACTCTTAAGTAGGAATAGTAACTCAGCCAAATGAATACCTTTATCCTTGCCCAGAATTATCTGGAGACAGCTAGCTGGCCCAAAGCAAAACAACAATAGGGGCCATTAATGAGCTCAAGTGCCAGTGGGTGATATCCGGCATTGCATTAGCAGAAAGGTAGTGTAAGGCCAATCTGTGTGGGATGACCTGGTCAAGGAGATACTTTTCCACAAGGACAGTGGGTTCTCTAGACTCTGAAAAGGTGAAGATAAGCTTCACTTGTCCAAAAAACTTCTAGAGAAATAGGAGGACAAGCTGCTGTACTTAGTGATGCCAAGCATTTCCAGCAGCAACACAGAGGACACTGTATCAGCCATCATCAGAGCTACTGGGATTTAATTTAGATTTTGTTCAGTACATTGCTGAAGATACTGAAATTAATTTATTTCATTAAAAAGTCCAATTATTAAACTGTCTCTATACTTGAGTGCTTCTGCATTTATGGTTTTGTAAAGTGCTTTTAAGTCCTGAGACAAAAAGAAATACAAGTTCTGTCTTTATGAATCTTTTGGAGGCACCAATGAGAGCTTTCTAATATGAATGTTTTTCCAGTATAAAGTGAAATTAGATGCCTGGTAGAGATAACTTTCAGATCATTATTTCTTGTAATCTAGCCTATTATGAACCCTGAAGCTGGAAAGCATTAATGAAAAAGGATTCCAAATTATTAAGTTCATTCATGTTAGCACTATCTTCATTGACACTCTTGAAAGGAGATTACTGTTTTGAAAAGCAAAATGACTTTTCAGCTGGATTAAGTCTCAAAATCTGGATCATTAATACTAGCTTCTAATGCCAAATATGAAACAGACTAAAACTTTAATTCTGCTGCACTGCTTCATAGATCAAACCCTTTCAGATCAAACCTAAAATTACAAGTTTGAAAACTCTCATAAAAAATAAACCCCAAATTAGATAATGGTTTAAAATTTATCTTTGGTAAAACTATAATTAGAAGATGTCTTAGGAATATTTCTGATAGTGATGATATTTATTCACATTAAAACAAACACACGGTGGTCCTACATGTTATTTAAACAGAAGAACAACATGCAGAGAGAGAAAAGAGCTCATATGTAACTTCCTGAAGGCTTCCCAAGCTACTCTGGACTTGAAGGGTATTCAGAGATCTCCCTTTGATATCCAAAAGATGATTGGCAATATCTTCAATCCCAAGCACCCTGAAAGAATACTTTTGCCTCCCTTCCACATCAAAAGACAAAACTGGGTTTACAAAAGCAACAGTATTTAAAAAATGCAACAAACAAAAACATTGTCAACAAAAAAATAAACCACATGACAACAAAGCATCCCCAGCCCCAAATATCCTTGTCTTTACCTGAAATCCTGGGCCATGGAAGTGAGAAGGAATATCCAAAGAAGGACAAACCCCTCCTCCTATTGGGTAGCATATTTTAGGTGATTTTTAGAGACTTTTCTGGTTTCTGCAGCTTCAAACATATCTGAGGCTAAGAAAACTAGCACTGATTTTATTAAGGCTTCTTGTATTTCCCACGTTCTGTCCCTGCTGTATCATTCAGACAAATTAGACACCAGTACAGTATGGCAGCTATTAAGGCTGATTTGAGGGATCTCCACTGTTCACTTTTGACTTTCCTGTTGCTTATGGAAATTCACTGTCAAAACCTGGGTTTTTTTTATTAGTAGGAATTTTACATTAATTATATCCAACTTTTCATTTCTCATACAACTTCAGTTGTTTGAAATCTGTTGTTAGTGAAACACACAACATTCAGTGAACAAACTAGTAAGAATGGGGACACCTGCACCATTCATACACATATGCACAGATATCTCTCTCCAAGCAAGTCCAGGAATAGCTTCCAGACTGGCATCCACTAGCTGAAAGACCCTCTTCCCAGTACAGCAAAGGAGCTTATGGCATCCAAGTTAGTATCTCTGTATCATGTAGATTTACCTTTTTATGTAAAGCTACCATAGACAAGTGCAGCCTTGTGAACTGCAGACATGCAAAAAATTACTGATGCAAAAGGGAAAAAATCTGAAGTGATTCTTTTTCCATAATTATTCAATTAATACTTTTAAGACCCTAAAAACGATAGGCATCATAATCTTTAAGAAGAGCTCCCACACCTTGATAAATTTGTGTATTACCTGATGGTATTTCTTCAGTATGTTGTGCATTTCTGCTACATCTTCACTTGTTATAGTTTTGATGATATATCTTTTGTCGTAAGATGTATGGAAACGAGCACCACTGCGTGCTTGAGAATCATTGGCAAGGGGCGAACTTCTTGTCAATGAATTCTGTCAATTGATAGAAAACAAAGCACCAAGTCAGACAAAAGCCACTTATGTAGAACAAATAGAAACATCTTACATTTATTTTAAAATCTTTTTCAATACATCTGCGCTGAGCTGAATTCTGCAAAGCACCTCCTCACAGTCTGTGCTTGTGAACCTTGACAAATCATTTCAGATGTGTTCTGAGAACAAAAGAAGGTATTGCCCATCAGTTGGTCAAAACTCATTCTCAGTGTTTAATGAGAATTTATTGCACTTTGTTACGTATACATTATCAGCTTTTGGGAAGAAAACATCCAGTAATTAAAAATCCAAAAGGAACACTGCATTTCACCACAATAATTATAAACAGAGGATTCACCCATAGTTAAAACTGAGCAGGATTCACTCTTGAGACAATGTGATATGGTACATAAACAAAGTCACAGGTAGATTTCTGAGTTCTAGTACCAGAGCTATTCCAATGATTTCATATCTAGAGTTAAGCAAATAGCAATATTGTACAGTATCTCCTTTGGTAAAATAAACCTAGCTCCATACAGTCTTAAGAGGGGAAGATTAGTTAATGACTGTATAGCAGTTAGAAGAAAAACTGCTAGACATTAGAGGCCATTTTTAGACTGAAGTTTGAGATTACTTGCACCTCAACAGAAGTAAGAAGAGCTGTCTGGTTTTTCTTTTCAGAGAATAAGAGGTATTCAGATTGGTTTTCTTTATATTTTAAAAAACAGTAGAAATGAATATATTTCTAGGCTTGCACAATGAACTAGAACCATTACTAATGTCTATGATAAAAAGAGACATTTCTCCATTATCCCCTCTATTCACTAGAGAAAGAAAGGATGTGGGTGCTTCCCTAATGTTCATAAATCCAGAGTTTTTCCAGACTGATCAGAACAAAGCTTTAGGGACCACCAGTGCAGACAATGCAGTTCCCTCTCTGCGTTGGTTTATGGACAGTTTTAACAGATGTAAGTCCTGATACACCATCACATCACATGGTATTGAAGGTAGTAGAGAAGAGAATTTAAGTATTACAGCAGTTTTCTTTGCTTGCTTTCAAATGTTTCCTATTCAAATTAAATTCCCACCACTCCACCACTGAAATGTTTTAATGTACTGAAGTCTATTCAAGGGAACAAGTATCATAAACAGATTAAACTTTCTTAATGCTACACTTGATACCAGTAATCCATTCATTTTCAAACTGAATTATAGAGTTAGTGTTAGAAACCATCCTCTGTAGAAACCTTTTCTGTTCTAGAGTCAGGACTTGGTTTTGTTTCCAGGCATATATTTAACAGTTCCAGATGAAGAACTAAGACTAAAAGTTTAAAAAAGAGTGCAAACTCAGCTGCCTTCATCACAAATTGAAAATATGATGCAACATAATAATTATTTTTAATTTTGAAAAAAGCCAAAGCATGTGTAACCATTAGTGTATGCAGTGAATTAAACTACTGCTAAGTTATTAGGCTATAATTCAGTTAGTAATAATAAAGGCTACTGGGTAATTGCTCGTTATTATTCCCAGCAGAAAAGGGTGCATTATTCTGAGTTTAACTATTGCAATAAAGCAGTAACCACAGATTTCTGCATTTTTTTTTCTGAATATTTTTCCCACAGAACCCTAGTCTTCAAACTGTAACCCATATGGTATAAACTTTGAAAGCAATTAACCTGGCAGGAGACTTCAGTTGTTTTCCTATAAAAAGCTGCAAAAATGTACTTGCTAGTCTGCCACAGAACCTCTGAAGCAAAAAAGGGAAAATGTGAAAATTTGAACTCAACATTTCAAATACTCTTCAGGGTATTTTAATATCCTTCATCAAAAGATTTTCAGATTCGAGTGAAATTCAGTCCTGGGAGTACTTGATATGAACAAAATACCTTGCTAGCAATGTTTTCACTGAGACACAACACATGGGAGATGCTGCTTCTCTGGACTTTTCAGTTGCTGAAGCTTAGTTACCAATTCTGTGACCAGAAAGGGACAGACATAACTACTGATTTCAATCCTTCCACATGTTATTCCTATTATCAATTGCTCTTTTTAAATTAAATCTGTCTCCTTTTGTCTTCAGCCACACTATTTACACAGGAAAGCACTTCTAAGTGTTAGGCCTTAAAACAAACTTCTTCCTGCTTTCCTCCTGTCATCCCATCATTAACCAGAAATTTCTAGTATATAGGTGTATTTAGGGAGCAACTCATTAAAACAAATTTATTCAGAATTGTTTTACCCTGTGACGGAATATGATGTGGGAGGAAATATAGTGACACTGACTGAAGTACTTAATACCTCCTTTGCCTCAATCAATGATAAGACCAGTTGGTCTTGAGGTACCCAGTACCTGAGCTGAGAGTCAAAAACAGGGAGCAGAATGAAGCCTCCATAATCCAAGGGAAAATTGCCAATGACCTGACACACACAAGTCCATGAGGTCGGACCGAACCCACTCAAGGGTACTGAGAGAGTTGGCAGAAGAGCTCACCAAGCCCCTTTCAACCATTTACCAGCAGCCCTGGCTGACCAGGGAGGTCCTAGTTGACTGGAGGTTACAAAATGTGATACCCATCTATAAGAAAGCCTGAAAGGAACTACAGGCCTGTCACCCTGATCTTGGTGCAAAGGAAGGTCATGGAGGAGATCATCTTGAGTGCCATCACATGGCACATGCAGGACAATGAGGGGATCAGGCCAAGGCAGCACAGGTTTGTGAAGGACAGGTCCTGCTTGACTGACCTGATCCTCTGTAACAAAGTAACTCACTTAATGGATATGGGAAAGGCTGGGGATATGTCTACCTGACTTTAGCCATGTCTTTGACATTGTTTCCCACAGCATACCCTGGAGAAACTGGCTGCTCATGGCTTAGCTGTGTGCTCTGTTCACTGGGTAAAAAACTGGCTGGACAGCTTGGGCCAGAGAGTGGAGGTGAATGGAATTACACCCAGTTGGCGGCCGGTCACCAGTGGTGTTCCCCAGGGCTCAGTGTTGGGGCCAGTTCTATTTAATATCATTATCAATAATCTGGATGAGGGGATCAAGGGAACCTTCAATAAGTTTGCAGACAACACCAAGTTGTGTGGTAATGTTGATCTGCTGGAGGGTAGGAAGGCTCTGCAGAGGGATCTGGACAGGCTGGATTGATGGGGTAAGGCCAATGGTAGGAGGGTCAACAAGGCCAAGTGCTGGTCCTGAGCTTGGGTCACAACAACCCCATGAAGTGATACAGGCTTTGGGATCAGCTGGAAAGCTGTGCAGCAGAAAAGGACCTGGGGGTGCTGGTTGACAGCAGCTGAACATGAGCCAGCAGTGTGCCCAGGTGGCCAAAAAGGCCAATGGCATCCTGGCTTGTAGCAGAAATAGCGTGGCCAGCAGGGCTAGGGCAGTAATCGCTGCCCTGTACTCAGCACTGGTGAGGCCACACCTTGAGTACTGGGTTCAGTTCTGGGCCCCTCACTACTAGAAGGACACTGCAGAGCTGGAGGGTGTCTAGAGAAAGGCAGTGAAGCTGGGGAAGGGTCTGGAGCACATGGTTGATGAGGAGCAGCTGAGGGAGCTGGGGTAGTTTAGCCTGGAGATAAGGAGGCTCAGGGAGACCTTATTGCTCTCTAGAGCTACCTGGAAGGAGGTTGTAGATAGGTGAGGGTCAGTCTCTTCTTCCAGGTAACAAGCAACTCAACAAGAGGAAGTGGTCTTAAATTGCACCAGGGGAGGTTTAGATTAAGTATTAGGAAATATTTCTTCACCAAAAGGGACGTGGAGCATTACAACAGGCTGTCCAGGGAAGTGGTTCAGTCACCATCCCTGGGGGTATTTAATCACCACAGACAGCTGTTAGGCTAAGAGAATGAATCAACTAGTACTCATTTTATCACAGTTCTTTCATTACAGTTCAGGCTAGACAGAAAAAAATACAGAAACGAGTTAGATTCAAATAGAAAATAATCAAGTAATATTTTAAATCATCTGGAGAAAACCTTGAAAAGTCACTGACTTCTTAGAGATTCTTGTTTTTTCCAGCAGTGTTTTTTTCCTTAATGGAAATTAATTCTGCCTGATTGCTAACTCTAATGGCAAGTTAAGTTTGCAAATACAACTATCATACCAAAAATGTTGCTAACAGGAGTATATAATACATATGTGATAATTATTTAGCTGCATTTTACTTTGTCTTAATGCTTTAATGGGTTATAAATGGTGATGCATTTATTTTTTTAGCAGATGGCTATTTTATTAGTAGTTATCTATATCAAGATTAATTAAGAATGCATACAGCTATCATTTTACCACATGCATATTAATTTGTTAGAATAAACCAACCAACTTTATGCTAAGCAGCATCTTTCCATACATGCACAGATAACCCAAGTGTCCTCTCTACAATACCCTGACTCCATTACTAAATTAATTTAAGATCAGATGTTTAAACATTAAACATGTTTAATAAAAACCAACCTCTAATTAAACAACCTCTGGGACACTTTATTTTTACTAACTCCCCATTCTTGTGATAACTCTCTCAATATAATGCACTTTTCAGATACAGAATGTAGTTACTTTGAACTTTGACAGCATGTGGAACATGGAAGATGCTTAACATTACTATTTACTCTGTCTTCTTTTGATACTTGCCTAAGTTTATTAAATAAGTATGGTTTAAAAATCAGGAAAAAAAATCTAATGACATCATACTGTGCAGATCACTACTAACTACCACGTTCTTGTCTTGATAAATGCAAGGCTGAGTTTTGTATGTGGACAGTTTTATTTGCAATGCTTAACTCACTTCTGTAAACAGAAAAATTCAAACTCCTTTTAAACTAAAGCTTTCAGGTACCAAGCAACATACCCCACCTCTCAACTATATTAGTTATATTTGTTTACAGATAGAAATCAGTCTTCAGTAAAGTACATATACTGTTGCCTGGTGATGACAACAATGAATCTTTAATTAGAGAGATGGCAAGAATTGGCCTGCACTGGTAAATCATCA